CCCCAAAACCCCAAAACCCCAAAACCCCTCAAAAGCATTATAAATCAATAACATATTATCAAATGACAAAAAAATTTCAAATAAGATTAAACCCAATAGCAAATTTTTAAATTCAGATTTTTTATGTTTTCTTGAGATAGTCCATTTCTTTATAATATTCGAGCATACTTTATTTTTATCTTAACTTTTACTTATTCATTAATGCTTTAATCTTTTCCTTCTAGTTCTAAATGCTTCTTTAATCTGGCCCTATCCTCTATATCACTCTCTAATCATAGTTAGCTAAAGCCTTATCAATGCCATTAATACTCTTATCAACTAATCTTTCAAGCTCAACACTCTTGTTTAAATATCCAAATTTCTCTGTAATTTTGTTTAAATGGCTATTTCTTCTTAATGGTGCATTTTTTTATTTCATTTAACTAAGATTAGCTTAAGAATAATCATTAAAGTACTGCTAATTATTATCTGATTTAAGAAATTATACAGAGTTTAGGTTATTATCTGATATTTTAGATATAGTTTAATGATCCTACTCCTAATTAATATTTTCATTTACTCTCTACGATTCAAAGAGATATTTTTGCGATTGTTAAAACTTTTATTTGACTTATAGCGACTTTTAAGACATATTATTCTGATTTCTTTATCCTATTGAATTCAGATTATTTATACTCTTAGAAACTATTTCATATGCTTGACTTTAATCTAAATTTAAACTATCATCATTCTCCTCATTTATCTGCTTATTTATATCATCAATTGAATTATATAACTTGTCTCTTTTATTTAACGCCATTTTTTAAGGCCTAATGATCTAGTATTGATCTCCCAAGGTATTCCTTAAATTTTTCGATGTTTTTTCTTAAATAACACTACCACCTTATTCAAATAAAGAAATTCTTGAGTTATAGTAGGATTTATTCTTAGAATTGAGAGCTGTTTGACTAGTTTGCTGATTCAAAATTAATTCATCATTTTTGACACTGGTGTTTCCTCTAAATATAGAACTATCAGCTTTATTATCTAGAATATTTGTGCACATCCTCTTCAATCCATCTAGTCTATGATTTATTGACTTTAAACTTTATTCCTTTTTAAAAGAGTATTGAGATTGCTCATTGATTGATACCATTGATTCATTAATCTTTGAGATCCTCCGGTATCCTGTTAATTGCTTGTTTAATTTTGAGGATAAGGGCTAGGAATCTACTGAATTGTATATGTTAGAGTTTGATCTAATCCTTATGTTGGCTTAGATTTCTACTAATTTATTAGTTAGCAAAGAATAATTTTGAGGCCTTTGATCCTCATAGTCTCCAATACTCTTATTTATTGATGCAGTCAGTGAATTTTATAAATTCTTGTGAGTATTTCTTGTGTTATTTTGATATGGCTCATCATCAAAGCTTCGATTAATATTAATGAAATCATTTCTGTTATTTTTCTAGGATACATTCTTACCCATATTTTCCTCCTCCTTAAGCTGATCTATAATCTTGATTAACTAAATTTTATTTCCAGCATTCTTTATTTTGTTAGATTTAATGATTACTTAATCTTATTAAACTGATATTTCCTTGTTTTTATTGATTTCTTATTTGGGATTCTTATTTGCAATCTAAGTTTTTAGTTTTGTCCTTAGTCTGCTTAAGTTGAATGGCTCTCCAACTTTACTATGAGAGCGAATGTCCTCATTCAATTTGATATATTTTAAAGCCAATCGATTTTTCTCAATTTGCGATATTTTATATTTAGTACGCTGCTCATCCTCGTTTATCTTCATATGTGCATAATCTATCAGCTCAAGTACAGGAGATTTGGACTAGTTAACTATAAAATAATCCATCTAAGTTGCAGTCATTTTCAATTTTTCCAGAGGACTTTCTTTGAGCTTATTAGAATTCTCAGGACTGTTATCATATTGCTTTATGTACTTCTTCCATTTCTTTAAGTCCTTTTCTGGTTATTTAGTTTCAATAGTCCCTTGAAAACTCCTCATAATGTCATTATTTCCCTTGAAAAGATCCCAGCTATACTCTTTTACTTCGTTTTTAGACTTAAAATCCTGCTTTATCTGACCATCGTTAAATGTAGGTAAATTTCGTGAGTCAAATTCATTATTCTAGATAGGTGTGATGCTTATATTATCGTCCTTAATTTGATCCTAATCATTTTTCTTCTGATTTCTCTTTCTTAGTAATTTTTATTGCAAATATTCAGCTTTATTTCGTTCTAATTCCTAATTTCTCAGTTCATAGAATATCTAGTCCTGTATTTCTCAGTCAAACTTAGATTTTATCTATTCTTTCTATTTACTAGATAAAAATAAGTTTGCTTGCTTTCGCTCTAGTTTCTCTAATATATTCATTAAATTTTAGAATTTATATTGGCATATTTGCTTAACCCTGAATTAGAATAACCTCCAACTCAGGGGTTTTGGGGTTTTGGGGAGATCGGAAGAGCGTCGT